TTAGTTTACTACTCTTTTATATAAAGAGTAAAGTCAGAGCAAGGTATTAGCCGAGCCATTCCTTTAGGGCCAGGAGCTTCCCGCCTGGACCCGTAATAATAATTAATAATAAAATAATAATAATAAATAATCTTTATTTAATAAATTTATTAAATATTAAGTTTTTTAATTATTATAAAAACTTTTATAGTCTAATAATTAATTAAAAAATTAAATTTTTTTAATTATTATAAATCTTTTAATTCTATTTTTCACTCTGTCAGAGTCTGTATAATTATTAATATCTTTTTATTATAAATATTATAATTATACTCTAATAAAAATATAGTTTTAAAATAATAAATTATAGAATATTATATTCTATTAATCTATTAAAATAGAATTTTTATAACTATCTTATTTATTATATTAATCTCTATTTATATAAATTTTAAAAAATTATAATATATTAATATAGATACAGTCTACAGATATCAGAATCTTTTTAAAAATTAAGAATATTATTTTATACTTACTATTCTAAATAAAAAAAATATTTTTTTAGGTTAATTAAATTATAGATTATATAATTTAATTATAGTTTTTTATAAACTAATAATAAAAAGTATAAAATTCTAGAAAAAACTAAATCTTTTTAATAATTATAAAATACTACTATTTTATAATTACTGTAGTTTTAATAGAATCTATATATATACTAGTAATTAAGATTATAAAATCTAGAAACTTTATTTTAATTATATAAAATTTATATTTTTAAATAATAATCTAAAGATCTACTACTTAAAGATACTCTAGTATTTAATATATCTAAAATTTATATTTTACTTTATTCTTACTAAAGATTAGTATATTATTAATATAGATAATAATAAAATTATTTATAAGACTGAAAAAAATATACAGTATTTAAAACTTTTATAATAAATTTTGTAAACTTTTTAATAGATATTAAATTTAATAAAGACTTTAATACTCTTTAATAAGTCTATTATCTTATTAATTAATAAAATCAAATAAAGATTCTTATAGATTAATATATTAAGTTTTTAGTAATTAATATATAAATATAATTCTTCTCTAAATTTCTAGATTATAGAAATAAAAAAGATAAATAGTATCTTATTTAAAATAATCAATCTTTTTTCCAAATTTTTTAAAATATAGTTTTAGACAGCTTGAAACTCTTCTAGAATTATTTTATATAAAAAAATATTTCTAGTAAATTATCTTCTTCTAACTTTATTCAGTAGTTATATAGATAAAATAATAAAAAAATATCTAATTGTTTTTTAAAAAGATATTAACTAAATCATAATAATATTTAGATAAAATTTATTTAATTTATTTTTTTAATAACTTTAATTCTTAATTTATAAAACTTATCTTATCTGAAATTATCTTTTTAATTATATTTAGAGATATAATAAATAATTTTGTGATAGAACAGGCTGGTCTATAGCGGTCAGAGTTGCTGGTGTGATGTATTAATAAGCAGATTAATAGAGTCGTAAGGTTATCAGTAGAAAATCTTTAATAGAAAGTCCCAAGTACTCTGCTCAGTATATAGTAGTAAATCTTACTAATCTATATTTGATTCTTTAAGAATCAGTCCATTCTATAAATATAGATTATCTTTATCTGTTCTACTATAAATTAATAGTATTTTATAATTAATTTCTTATCTAGTTAACAGGCGACTTATTTTAATAAATAAATCTTATTATATTCTGATTTTTTTTTAATTATTTAAAAAAGATACTATCTTCTAAAACTAATTCTGAATTTAAGATAAATTATAAGTAAATTAATTCTAAATAATCTTTTATTATTATTTTTACTGTTAAAAAAATATAGCTGTTTTAGGATTATATTTACTAATTTGAAAAAACTAATAATTTAAGACAGAAAATTATCTATTTATAAAAAAAACTAATTTCTTAATAAATTATTAATAAAATCTTCTTAATTATTTCCCGGATTATTCTTAGAATAAGATAAAAATAAGATTAAATTTAATAATAGTTTTTATTTTATTCTATATTTTAATCTGTAGAAATATTAGAAATAGATTACTAATCTAAAATATTTATTCTAGAATACTTCTAAAAAATATATTATAAAAGAATACAAGATAATTACTACTATTATATATATAAATTAATTTTATAAATAAAGATAATATCAATATACTAATAAAAAAACTCCAGAAAAGAAATAGAATTTTAAAATTTTATAATCTAAATTTATTAAATAAATTTTTAATCTTATTGAAAATACTGTTATACTATAATCTAATATTATAATATAATTAAAATATATTTATTAATAATAAAGCTAAGATCTATAAAAATTTTATATTTATTGTAATATATTAGAGTAATATTTTCTCTATTAAAAAGAAAAAAAATAAATATTATTCTATTTAATTAATTTTTTTTAATCTTAATTAATATATTTATAAACATATTTTTTATTTTTCTGAATAATAAAATAATATAGTTATACTAGCTATATATTATTATAAGCTTTAGAATAATTAGAAATAAAAATAAAATAATATCTTTTTTAAAATATTATTTTTTAAATACTTTAATAGAAAATAATTTTTTCTGTTATATAAAAAAATATTATTAAATTAATTCTAAAATCTTATTAAAAAGAAAACCAATTTATTATAATATTCTATATATAATGATACTAATTATCTTATAAATTAATATCTTCAGAAGAACTGAAAGATTTAATTAATTAAAAAAAAATAAAAAAATAAAAAAATAACATAATTAATAGAGAAAAAAAAATAAAAAAAAATAATATATAAGAAATTTTTTTTTATTTATTTTAATATATAATTATCTAGTAAATATTTTTTATTCTATAAATTTTCTATATTAAAAATATTTCATATTAGTATTTTATTAGAGATATATAGTTATAATCTTAAATATCTTATTTTTATTAGTTATCTACTATTCTTACTCTATCCAGTAATTATAAAGCTATTCTTATATAGACTAATCCAGATAGTTCAGCCCAGTAAGAAGATATTATTTATAATATAATAAACTAGTCTATAATAGTCAGAGTTGCTGGTATAATATATTAATAAGCAGATTAATAAAGTTATAAGATTATCAGTAGAGAGTCTTTAATAGAGAGTCTTAAGTACTCCGCTCAGTATATAGTAGCGAGTCTTACTAATCTATCTCTGATTTTCTAAGAATCAGTCTATTCTGTAAATACAGACTATCTTTATCTGTTCTACTATAAATTAATAGTATTTTATGGTTAATTCCTTATCTAGTCAACAGGCGACCTACCCTGACAAGTAGATCCTATCATAAATTTAGACTTCAGATTTTAAAGATATCTGTAGAATATAACTGCTTTAATTAGTTTTATTTTAATTTTATTTATTATATTCTTATTATATAGCTTCAGAAATAGTATAAAGTTTAAAAATAATATAGATTTCTGATATTAAAAATCCTAATTATTTAAATTATAATTTATTTTAGCTAAAATATCTTATTAAAAATTCTGTTTTATTTATCATTATACAGACTTTAATTCTAGAACTAGTACTGATAATAGTAATTCTAGAATTTTTTAAAAATATTTATTTTTATAAGTAATATTCTACTAATAATTTTAATCTATAATATAATAATTTAAAATATCTCAGAGAATCTAATATAATATTCCTACTCTAATTTTATCTTATAATAACAGCTAGTATGATTAAATAAACTACTAATACTAGTAGTTAAACAGGATTTTATATTTTATAAATTATATTCTTCTTAGTATAATATTATACTAGTTAAGATTAAGAATTAAGAATAATATATTATTAAATTATTATCTATTAATAATAAGAATAAAAAAATAATATAGATAAAAAATATAATATTTGACAAATAAAGCAAACAGATACATCACGTGTTTGTTCCCGTGCTAGTCACATGACCGTAACGTCACTTGCCATCACAGTTGGGACATATCTCTCCGTCTGCTCTCCAGATAGACGCGATATATCGCTTTTGGTCTACTGGTTAGAACTCTGACGTATATTAATATTCTTCTCTTTTTATCTTTCTACCTGTCTGTATATGTATACCCAGCCCAACCACAAACTTATATTACTTATAAATTGATATAATTTTTTAGACTCTAAAATGATTGGTGGGCCTTAACTTTAAACAGATCTCTATCAAGTAGGCAAGATGGCCGAGCGGTCTAAGGCGCTGCACTCAAGCGAATAACTTGTCCAATCAAATTGGATGTATTGCAGTCTCGCAAGAGGCGTGGGTTCGAATCCCACTCTTGTCATTAGTTTTTCGCACTTTTTTGCGAAGCGCGTTAGCGCAAGTAACATCATTAGGTTAGGTCCTGGCTGTTGAAGTCCCGCCATCTCTGGCCTCTGATAAGTGCACAAGATCGGTATTCTGCTATCTCTCTCCGTCTTCTACTGGGTTCGATGAGGAACTCACAGGTAAGGTACTCTATGAGATACATGTTCGAACCTATATAGCAAAGGTGTTCTGAAAACTTTCGGGCCACCTTCAGTGGGGTAGTTATGTACGAATAGTTTCCATCATTTTTATTTGTGAAGCACTTTAGCGCGGAGCAATTCTATACTAGGTCCTGGCTGCGGAAGTCCTGCCATCTCTGGCCTCTAATTAGTCTACAAGCTCGGCATTATGATTGGTTCTTCCATTTTTATCATTATATGTTTTTATTCTACTATTATCTCTCCGCCTTCTACTCAGTTCGACGAGGTGCTTGGGGAGGTGCTTAATAAGATGCTCTATAAGATTTGTATATATAGCTTTAGTGCTTCCTGTAGAAAAGGACGGTGCTTCGCAACGCCTTGGGCTGGGACTCCGCAGGCCTAGTTTAGTCTTGTTCGCACACCACACTTTCTCCTACTTTGATTAACCCTTGAGTTGCTCGGATTCAATCCCGATTGGGACAAAAGTGATGTAGCTGTCACGGGCAAGATGGCCGAGTGGTTAAAGGCGTTGGTTGTGCTTAAGACGCAATCTCGAAAGAGTTCGTGGTCGAACCCCACTCTTGCCCTTTTTTTGGTGCAAAAGTCACGTGATTTGTGCATTGTGATTGGCTGTAGCTGCTGCAACCCTGTTGAGGTCATTCGAACCCCAACTTTTGCCATTTTCTTTCAACCAAGTTCTTTTATCGCACCTGGGTGCCGTTGTCGGCCTCCCGCCAAGGTTGTCAGAAGCTGAAACTTCAGTGCTACAATATATATCTATATATCTATATACGTACCCTGGACAATACTCCAATGTCATGGGGACCATTGCCAAATGCTGAATCAAAAACTTTGGAATGGGCCTCCAAGACCAACTCGTCCCCCTAAAAGGAAGCGAGCAAGCATTGCCTGCATTCCTTGCAGGGCACATAAGATTCGGTGTGACGGGAGTCGACCGCAGTGTGAAACTTGCCAGCGCCGTCGAGAGGCCTGTCTGTATCCAGAAGAAGAGAATAGACGGCCCAAACAGTACGTTGCGTCTCTTCACTTCAAACATTCTGTTGATGGGCTGATGTACTGTTGTCAAGGATTGTGGAGCGAGGGGCAGATGGCGGACACCACGTAGATCTCTCCAGATGCCCTGGATCTGACAATGCCACTCAACACTACGAGTCAGTGCCCGCCATTACTCAGTCCCAGGATAATGAGGAATCCAGTGTGACAGCTATGGGACTCATCTCACGCCCTCTCAGCAGTAGTCCTGACCAGGAACGAGGGTTTTTCGGAGAGTCCTCCGTCATCAGCTTCATCCAAAGCTTGCAAGAAACCCTTCACCCGGGTCTGGACGCATCGGATTCAAGGGGGCTACCTGGAGACCAGACGTCCCTATTGCAAACACACAAAGCATGGCAGAGACCAGCCATCTCGCCCAATCTCCTCCCCCCACGCTCCTTGGCGGATCACTTGATAGATTGTTACATGTCCAAGATCCATACACTTTACCCGTTCGTGCACAAAAAGGCATTTCTTGCTTCTTATCGCAGACTGTGGGGAGTGATTCCCTCTGAAGGCCCTGCAGAGCCAAATCATGGGCTAGGGGTTGGCGATGTTACAATATCTGCAACGACCTTCTATTATAGCTTGAACATGCTATTTGCTCTGGGCTGTCAGTTCTCCGATGTCATCAAGGAAGAGCGAGAGTCCATGTCAGAGGCCTTCTTTCACCGATGCAAGCCAGCCCTCGACGTGGATCACCTTGAAAATGGGGATCTAGCCTTGGCACAGACTTTCCTTCTGATGGCTCACTATCTTCAAGGTTCGCGTACACCAAACCGCTGTTGGTACGTAATTGGAACAGCATGCAGATTGGCCCAAGCAATCGGCCTACATTCTACCACAGGCGATGAGCGTCGATCTTTTGCTCAGATTCAAATTCGGAGGAGAGTCTGGCATGGTTGCGCAATGCTGGAACTGTAAGAAACCTGCCACGTTTTTCAGCACGTCCCTGTCTCTTTCTGACCGGAACCACAGAGAAATCAGCACTATCCTCGGTCGTCCAGTGATGATATCCAACAGCATGACAGTTCCTCTGCCTGAAGCTGTTGATGACTGCTATTTGACTGGGGATTCGAGGAGTTGTAAACAACCGCCCGCTACCTTCTCTCGAGTTGAGTGGTTTATAGCGACCCTGAAGATGTATAACCTTCTACGAAAAGTGCTCAGTACCATTTACTATGATGGCAGAGAAAATCTCGCAGAGGATCCTGCTGGTCAAAAGCCAAACGAAAGATTACGTCAAATCCAATGGGTTACCCAGATTGATGCAGAACTCGAGGATCTACGTCTTCATTTCCCCCAGACACTTTGGTGGGATGGGGGTACATCTACAGAGCAGTCAGATGATTTTCTCAGAGAAAAGACTCTGCTCCGAGCGAGGTATAGCCCCTAGCTCTACGCTGATAAGCCCTATCACTGAATCTTATTGTCTTCTCACTCTAGGTACTTGTATTTGAGAATCCTTATATGCAGACCCGTTCTCTCCCAGCTATTTCAGGAGACTCATCGCCCCACTGGAGCACGAAGCGATAGTAATACATGGGGGCTATTACAGAGTGGCTTCTATGAAAAGTTCGCCAAGGACTGCTCTGCTATATGTGTCCAGTTTGCTATTGATCTCATATCGCTCGTGCATGAGACCTGCAATACGGAATTGGCTAGTGTTTGGTTTTACAATGTGTTCTGTAAGTAGACAATTATCTCCTAATAAGAATGGCTTATTTAACCATCGCAGATGTGTTCACCGCAGGATCAATTGTTCTTCTTGCACAAATCCACCCCCCGATCTTGGACACAATGAAACATGACGATCTGGAAATGTCATGGACTCAATGTCAGGCCACTTTAAAATACCTGGAGACTTATAGCAGCGTGGCAGAACGATGTGCACATGGTCTGAGTGCGGTCCGATTGAAATATATTAAGGCTTTTGAAGTGACATCACAGGATCTAGCGAGTCACATACAAGACGCTGTCGCAGAACCCACAAGAGACGCTCTACAAGATCCTGCTTCACAACTTATCGATTGGGGACCAGAGGCCACATTGGAGAATACAGGAGCGGCAACTCCATTTTTTGAGGACTTCTTGTGCGACTTTGATATTGGGCAAGACATTTTCGATCCTTTATGGTTTAACATTGGCTATTGATGCCTCATATTAAGCCGCTTACCGTTATCAACACGGAGGCTGTTTCGGAGGAAAGCATTCTGAGAAGTCTTTGAATTGCGGTACTCTATTAGTCTATATCTATGTATATACAACTTATAATACGTGATCCACCTGAATAGCGATGGTGGGTTTAAGAAGAGGTGGCGAATCCCCCCAGAAAAGTGGCTGCACTGTCCACATCCTCCAGCCTGGTAGCATGACCCAAAAGGCCATCCGGGCGAAGAATCACCACGGCACCATTCTCCGTGGAGATGGTATAGGCAGCATGCGCCAATCGGTCCTGGTCGAAGTATGCGTTGCCGATGCGTGGATAATCAAATAGCCTGTCCCCTTCAGCAACACTTTGGGCGAAAATGGTCATAAAACGAGCCATGCCACTGGGAATAGCTTTTGCTAATTCATTGAGCGCCTCCACTGCAGGTGCCAACTTTCCTCGAGAGACTGCAGGGTGCCCGGCGAACAAAAGGATCGACCACTGCCCACAGTTTCTGGTCAGTTCGAAAAGTCGGACAGGCAGACGCGAGCCGGGGCGATAAAGGAGAGCATCTGGTCCTCTCCAGCCGGCCGAGATCATGCCCGTTGAAGGAGCTTTGTTGATCACACTCTCATCATAGTGGATGCCCAGACCGATGTTGAACTGGATCGTTTGTTCAAAGTATCTGGTGAAGAGCTCATTGGCATCCATGCAAGAACCCTTGTAATCCTCGGGTATCTGTCCGGAGATGGTGGCGGAGAATGCCTTGTCGAGCTCGATTAGTTGTTGGGCCGCTGGGCGACGCTCACTCTCGTACGTCTTGAGGACATCTGCAGTGTACCAGCCCTTGATCATCCCACCAAGCTTCCACGAAAGGTTGACAGCATCATGAACACCCGTATTCATCCCCTGCGCCGCACCCGAAGAGTGAGTGTGGCATGCGTCGCCCGCCAACACGACCCGGTCGTTGGCTAAGTAGCTGTCGGCCACCCGCTGGTTGATACTATAACGCTGTGTCAATCCCAAAAAATCAGAGAATCATTGTAGGCTAATTACCTATACAGGGTCCACCAATCGACGGACTCAAACTCCAGTGTGAACGGCTTCATCGACTTGATCGCTTCGGCCTTGGCATGTTCTTCATTGAAGCCATCACCATACTTGGCCAGCATCTCATCAGTCATCGCAAACCCAATACGCTTCACACCGTGATCGAGTTGAACCCAGAGAACATTGCCATGACTCTCCGATTCAATAGACGCAAACCCCATATCCGCATCGGGCATGTTCGTCTTGAACCGACCATCAATTCGCACCCATCTGAAATTGGTCCGGTCGCCTTCGAACGGAATCTTAGCTGTGCGTCGCACCAGAGAGTGGCCACCATCCGCTCCCACGATATATTTACTGACAATTTCATCGCGTTAGCAGACGATCCATCCACAGAACTAAAACAGCTCAACCCCCCAACATCATGCTTACCTTTTAATGGACAACTCCTCACCAGACCCAACATTGCGAATCTGCGAAACAACCTTATAATCATCCTGCGCCGCATCATCCACGACATATGACTCCAGCTTCCACCCAGTATACTGCTCGCCCTTCAACCCCTCATAGGCGGACCGAATCACCCCCTCAGAATACTTCTGGCGAATATTGAGACAATAATCCAGATACGTGCCGCTCATACGCTCGAACATGACATGCCATCCTCGAGAGGTCACCCGTTTCCCGTCCTTGTAGGTCACACTGTTGCGGCCGATGTAGCCGATCTGACTGAGGTCGTTCAAGAGGTCCAGCTGGTCCAGCATTTCGAGGGTGCGTGGGTAAAGTGTGGTCGCCCGGCCGTACATGGCTTGTTGGTCTTTGTCATGTTGCTCTATGTATTGAATTGTGTTATTAGATAATAATTCATGTGAACGAGAGCAGAGAAGTGATGGACGTACCGAGGACGATAGATGCCACGCCTTGTCTGGCAAGACTGTAGGCGACGAGTAGGCCAACAGGACCCCCGCCGCAGATTAAAACGTCGGTCTCAATTGCAGTCGCCATTTCGAAGGTAATAGGAGCAGATGTTGTTCACAGGAAGAAAGAGAAATCGAGAAGTTGAGAAATAAAGAGAAAGAAAGCGTGAGACTGAGAGATATTGCACGGTATCTGCTTGACCAACCAACAATCCAGGCAAAAGAATGTACCTCAAAAGGGTTTATATAACCTTCACTCGACCCGGATATATCGGCCGGTCTCTTTATTCTAATTAAAGTTTTCAACATCAAAAACTGTTAGACACGTACCTCTATACCGACAGTGGGCAGTATAGTGCCACCAAAATCCAATCACAGTCTCATTTCATGTATCGTATCGCTTGGTATCGGAAAGACA